CTAGTATTAAAACGCAGCGATTTTGAAAGAGCTTTTCACGTTGTTTTTTTTTTTTTCCAGAAACTAATAAATATTGTTTTTTGTTTACAATTTAATTATCGGTGTTAGAAATGTGAGCTGTGAATTCATTTCTGTTTTTGTTATTAATGCAGCTTTAAAGTTAATTATTATTTACTTAAAAGTGAAAGCGGAAGTCAATTAAAAATCAAACTTATACGCCAGAATACTAATGTTCAAAAATAAATTACGATGAAAAACATAAACTTAGGAAACCAGGTCATAAAACACGGGCAAATAATAATAAACTCCGAACAACTTCTGAACTGGAACAGGGGAAAAAAATAAGTAAAATATCCAGTTACTTTAGACGAACAAGACATAGATTTTTGTCTTTCACTCTACTGTCTCTCTCTCTCTCTCTTACACACGCGCATATATATATATATACACACATAGCCTGGTGCTGCTATCTCTCTGGTTAGTACTTCAAAATTAGAGACTGTTATACCTCAACACATTGTTGTCCTCTGACCTAGCCGTGTAGCCCACGTGCTCAAAAGGTGTCGGTCAGGTTGAAGATACCAAATAAGAAGACAAGTTTAACAGATCCAACTCTGCTCTGTTCCTCTTTCCTTGTCTACCTTCGCCCCCCCCCCCAGAGGGTCAATGATACGTCTGCATTAAAAATCAGGTTTTGGTATCCGTGGTGAACAGAACACAGATAACTCATTGTGTAGCTTTGTGCTTAACAAAACCAAAACCGATTGTCTACCTTCTGATAAAAATAAACTGAAGTATTATCCAAAGTGTGTTGATTCTCATCTAATGCGCTCTCTTTCTTTTAGATATCACAGTGAAAACAACTGTTTTTAAACATGTATGTAGACCCACAACAGTTAAATAAGTTCAACAACAATTTTCTATATTAAGTTAAAAGAGCGAGATTTTTTAGTTGTTTTTTATTTAATTCACACGCTTTCGCTTATATCGTGTAAGATGTATTTTCTTTAAGACTTAGTAAGGACTAATCTTAGAGGCTCTCAGGAATGTTTTCATCAGATTTTTTAATATATTTCTTTGAATATTTGTAAGGTATAATTTTAGAGATCCTCGGAACAGTTCTGACCTGATCGTTTAAGACATTTTTTCCTTCTGGAGTTAACTGTGCTTAGTTTTTGCATTTCTTATTTCAATTCTACTAAAGTACTTATTATTCTAGTTGTATCACAGCCATTACACGACGTTGTAATGACGCATTTTTCACCTTACTTCTGTCTTTCTTGTGTTTATTAAAGATGAAAGTTTTGTTGTTTTAGACTCTATATGTAGGGATGGCCAAGGTACTCAATAGGCATAATACAAATATGCACGCTCAAAATCAACAATTACAGGTAGTTTTACTTCAAAAGATGATTGCCACTCACTCTCATTTGTTTCTGTACCCAACAAGCCCCAAAACAAGACAGGAAACCATCGCTAAAAAACTAAACCAAAAAGTGACCAACCCACCAAATTATTCATCTTTCTTCTTGTTGTTTCAGTCGAGATAACTCTACAACTACTTTATCACTAACGTCAGTTTAAACCTAAATTCACTCTATGTATTTCTGGACAGTGCACTATGTCACCGCTTAGGCGTTATAACTATCAGTAATTTAAAAAAAAAAACAATTCTAGTGTAAGCGATGTTATGATTACCCCTTGAAGTCAGCTTTCTTACAAAATTTGGTGTTTCTCTAAAAGTCTTAAGTACCGTGTGAAACAGAAAATATCAACCAATAATAAATGAACACTAGATGAATGTAACATGTAGAATACTCAATGGTTTGTACACTATGCAATAGGTATCTTTAGGGAGCCAACCCTTATATCATGAGTGCAGTTAAAGAGTAAAAAAATCAATACACATGATATTAAATTTTATTACACACATTCATAGAATAAACTAACTTTCAGTCAAAACGTCACAAACCAAGTAATAAAAAACATTTTTGTATATGTAAAAAGATGTAGAGATGGCAGTGCCAAAAATAATTCAAACAAGAATATAGGGGTGATACAGTTATACATAGATCATCCCTACACGACTTTCAGTATTGAAATTTAATGTTACACTGTGAAATGCACGAGTATAAATTGGTTGTACTCTACCCAAAATAGCATTAATTAAATGATGTGTTATATGGCTCTGCATCGCTTAATAACCTACTTGTATGAACGCTTCTGATGTTCTTTATAAGTTTAGATATAGGAGATTTCTACATTTCACTGTGTAAAAAGGTGATGTAGCAGAAGCTACTTTATTTAGTTCTGTTTAACTCTTTTTTTTTCACTTGTTTGAAAAATATTTGTAAAACAAATATTGCAGTTTCCAAAAATTCATACAAAAATATTCTATTTTGAAATTAATGAAACAAATTAAAGAAAATTCTAATTTTAACGGACTCCGTGAAAGGTGGAAATTTTCTTTATTTATGAATTATTAGTTTTAAAAGATGTTTGTTTAATTTTATTGTGTATCCTGTAATTTTCTTATTCCTCCATTTAAAAAAAAAAGACTTAAATTTTATAAATAAATGTAGGAAATAATTTAAATGGTTCACACTGTTCTATGTAGGGATTTATAAGAAAGTGTTTGTTCAGTTTCCCTAATACTTGAGATTTTTTATTTCATAAATAAAGGTTTTACATATGATCGTCTCCGCATTATTTTCACGCATGCACGAAAAACTGCCATTCTTTTGCTTCATATCAGTTTATATCACTTAATTAATTAATTAATTATTAATTAAGACAAATTCCACTATTCAACTGATAGAAATTACGACAGGGCGGAATTATGATAAATTGAAATATGGTCGACATTAATGTTATCTATCGACAGATGCCGTTTCTAACTGCTGTGTATTCCCCCATTAGCAGGCTACACACTTGTAGGCTACTACAAGTTCTCATAAGGACATGATAAACGAAAATAGCGGCATCTGAGAAACTGTTACCAAACTGGGAAATTCCCTACCTACATTATCGGTAAATACACACCTATAGTTAAGATAGTAAGATAATTCTTGTTTATAAAAGTGTGATAACATCTAATAAGAACTGAAATTTGATGTAATAAAATAACGCAATAGTTCTATCTAACATAAAATTTAGTTCGCAAGGCTTTAACATTATTTTAATTATTCCTGCTATGGTCATGATATGCGTTATAAATACCTCCTGATGTACGCTGTATAATCATGGACGAAAAAAACTTTGTCCACGACAATAAAATGACTCAGAACCGTGTCAAGACTTCTTTAGACTCGATGATGAGGAAGTAGTGTAAAGAGAACAATGACGTCATCAAGATGGTAGAGTAAGTGTATCAATACTGAAAATATTTTGCCACAATGCAGAATATGTTTCACAAACAAACACAAATCCACTTCTGTCTACAACATTGGTCGTATAACAATCATTATTGTCACTTACAAAACCATGGTTATAGTATAATAATCATTATTGTCACTTACAAAATAATGGTTATAGTATAATAATCATTATTGTCACTTACAAAACAATGGTTATAGTATAATAATCATTATTGTCACTTACAAAACAATGGTTATAGTATAATAATCATTATTGTCACTTACAAAACAATGGTTATAGTATAATAATCATTATTGTCACATACAAAATAATGGTTATAGTATAATAATCATTATTGTCACTTACAAAACAATGGTTATAGTATAATAATCATTATTGTCACATACAAAACAATGGTTATAGTATAATAATAATTATTGTCACTTACAAAACAATGGTTATCACTAGAAATATATTAATTATTGTTTCATTACCACTTTGTTCATCATCGTCATCGTCAAATTCGTCTTCCAACAAAAACGAAACAAGGAGTAATTCATTCTCAGACATATCGAAAATGCTAACTTCCTGTTCCGGTTCAGTTGATTCATTTGCTGGAAAAGAACATACACACTTACACACATATATGTAGACAATGTAACCAGTTAGCAGTGCTTATATTTACATACATGAATGTGTGTGTATATATATGTAAATATATAACCGGGTTTCGATACCCGTGGTGGGATGAGCACAGATAGCCCATGGTGTAGCTTTGTGCTTAATTTCAAACAAACAAAACACACACACATATATATATATATTATTTGAATTTACTGTATTGTTTATAATGTATCATGTGGTTTCATTCTAATGTTTCTTACTAGTGTTATGCATATACACTGATTGTCATGAATCGCACATGTTTACACGAAAACAAATCCCTTTTGAAACATACAATTATCATACTAAACTTAATAAAGGATAGTTGTTCTTAGCGTCGTTGCTAAATAAAATAACAGATATTCGTTCCTGGAAGTGTGTGTTTTTCTAATACTTCTTGTTCATTTACTTTCGTTATTTATTTCTAACATGAAACTGATAAACTTTGTGAAGTTTGAAAAGGAATATTCTTTCTTCGTGGTGGTACAAAATTCCAAAGTTAAGCAATCATTTTTTATAAACAATATTTCAAAGCCATCACTTTTGAACAATTATGAAACGACTTCAGAAAGTTTTACAACAATACATAAATGGCTGTTGAAACTAAATGGCATTACAATGTTTTACTGCAAGATATTAATAGTTGTTGTTACTAACTATGATTCTAAGTATTTTGTGTTATAATCATTGTTAACATTAAACGGGTCTTATGTTTTTATTAACATTCAACATTAATAATTATGCTCAAAGACCACAAAGTGAATCAGTAGCAAAGTTATGGAAAAACAATTTTTTTTTCTAATATTCCCTCTTATTTAGACTGCCCATATATTTCGACATTCAGATTACTTCAAAAACGGGTTCTTTACTCTTGACTGGCCAGAGATTCACAATGTCGACTTCGGATTTTGGCTAGAGATATCATGATAATAATCTTTATTCATAGCCAATCAGAAAGCTTCAGTCCGACCGCACGTGCTTACAACGGGTTTACAGGGCATTGCTACAAGTTGTTTTCCAAGAAACATGACAAGCTTAAAAACTTGACATTGGTTTGGGACTGCGTTTCACAACCGTTGCGATTAGCTAACTATTTCTCTGAAATACTTTCTATTTGTTATTATATATTTGGGAAAGATAACCTGTACAAATAGCTTGAAAGCACCTAGACAGACGGTTCACTACAGTGTGTATCATAGAGAAGTCGTGGTTAGTTGTAATTAGAGACTGAACAGAAGGTAGTGATTGTTGTACGTCGTTGAAAATGAAAGGTAAGAATAATATATATATATATATATGTATGTATACTCATAAGTGTAAATACAATTTAAAGTGTTATGTTGCAACCATTTTCTCTATGTGCTACCCAGTGGCACAGTGGTATGTTAGCGAACTTGTACTGCTAGAAACTAGGTTTCGATACCCGTGGTGCGCAGAGCACAAATAGCCCTTTGTGGAGCTTTGTGCTTAATGACAAATAATAACAACAAATTTTCTCTGTATTTTAGAATCTTCCACTATCAAAGTATACTAAACCAAAAAGGAAAATGGCTCTAATCTCACATCTTATGTGGCCAAGTGGTTATAGCACCAGACTGTAAATCAAAGATCCGTGGTTTGTGACCCGTTGAACAAAAACACTCTCCATGTTTTGGGGCTGTGTGTGTGCTGTAAGAGTAGGAATCAAATTCTACTATTCGATTAGAGTAACTAGCTGCCTTTTTTTTAGTCTATCAGTCCAAAATTAGGGACGGCTGGCGCAGATATCCCTCCTGTAGCTTTGTGCAAATTTCAAAACAAACTTAACACAATTTTTAATTTGACACTTTGGTTCTTGAAATTTTCTAGAAATATATTAATAGTTTTTCATACTGAATGCGGTACGAAATGTATTCTGTTATAGACTATGTTGGTTGGATCACCATAATTGGGTGCTTGTGTTTTCTTTATTTATACGCTGACAACTGTGATGAAAGCTATATTTCAAGTAAAAATATACATACATAAAACAATATAATTCATATTGTAATTAGTATTTCTCGAAACGTTAAACATGAAATGCTGGTACTCTACATTATACATCAAATGCTGGTACTCTACATGAATGTTTTTGTTTTGTTTATTCCCCACAGGTTTACATTTGGTGACGATTGCCTGTATGTTTCTATTCACAGCAGGACACAGAAACATGGGTCCTGGGCAAGGGGCTCCCACATCAGGTTGCCCATCAGAAGAGCTTTTCTTGCCATGTGAATGTGAAGGGTCAGCTGTAATTCAATGCAACAAAGCTAAAACTACTAGCGAAGTTGTTGAGTCTTTTAAGCAAAAATTCGAGGATTTCGGAGCATTTGGTACATTCCACATGAAAAACACTCCTGTGTCTAAAATACCCTCTCGGCTCTTTGGACCAGCAAAATTTTATTCTTTTAGAATAACTGGCAATCTTAACCTTAATTCTGTAGAAGATAACGCATTTGCTGGTTCCGAGCCATTTGCAGAACACATAGATATTTCAAACAATGCCATCTCTTCACCATCTGTATTTCAAGCAATATCCAAACTGGACCAACTGAAATACATAAACTTAGAAAATAATAGTCTTACAGAGGTCCCTAATAACGCATTTGGAAACCAAGCACTACAGTTCATATCTTTGAGATATAATAAAATTCAAAGTGTTGGTCAGTACGCTTTCCAGCACCTAGCAAACCTTGAGAGATTAGACCTACGAAATAACCTGATCACCTTGTTACAAGATAATGTTTTTGATTTTGTCAAGACAACGGTGGATTACACTTCCATTGCTCTAGAAAACAATAAGATTTCTGATGTGTCCAATAACGCTTTAGTAGGCCTAAAGAGATCCGAAGTTCTTCTTAGTAATAATTTACTGACAACTTTAAAAGCTGAAGCTTTTCAGTCATATTTCGAGAAAATTGTCCAATTCAATGGAAGGGCAATTGTTCTAAAAGGTGAGACTAGTCTATTGATTATTTACTTTCATTTTCAAATATTTTAACCAAATGTTTTAATTTCCGACCAAAGAAATGCCAATAAGCTAATACAGAGATTTACAAGCAGCCAGGCATAGCTAATAAATCCTGTCAAAGTATTATCCTCATAATTAATGAAGCGAAAAGTGAGAGGTATATTGGGTGGAACGAAGTAACTTAGTTGATTAAAGCTTCAGTTCGATAAATTGAGTTGCGGGATTCAATCTCGCTCAACCTGTTGCCTCTTTTTCAAAAATGTTATACATTTTTACAACATATTAATTCTATACGTGGAAGTACATTGAACTGGATAACCAGTTACTCAAGTACAACAAATGCACTAAAGTACAAAGGGTCATTAACATTTTTTTGGAAACGGTAATTAAACTGGACATATTGAATACTGTATTTTTCTCTGTGATCTTGTTCTTTCACTTTCTTGCTTCTTAGCAGTGTACTACAGCAATCTTCCCACAATACCATACTTCCTCAAGGAAGAGCCATCTCAATGTTGTCCCAGCATCTTATGCAGCTTTCTACAAGCTAGCTAATGCCGTAGGCCTACGACTTCCAAGTACACGCTTAAGAAGGCCCAAAATACCAAAGTTCATTGAAGCTGTGTCGTTAGACTTGACAGGTATGTAGTAAAAAGGAATTTCTGTGATGCCAATTTCTTCAGACGTCTTTCTTACGAAAACAGACGTTGATTTCGAAGTGTGACTGGATGCTTGTAAACTCGAACCTGGTGAGCATGTGTCAGCTTCAAATCCTTGTTTACTACATTGTTAACGGCACCTGAAGATACGTCCAGCTTCATGGCGATGGTTTCTTGGGCCGAAAAGTTATCTTCCGTGGCAATAGCCTTCACTTTGCAGGTTAGGGCATTGCAATGCGTAACTTATGGTGTTGCTTTGGGGACCATTACTGTCTTAAAGTTCGGCTGTGCAAATGTTTGTTTCCACGGAGAACAATGAGACAAGTTATTCGAATTCTTTTGTTCTTTGGATCCTACTTTATCTCACTAATAACATTTTAGGACCATTTTATAGCAGTTTGCTTATATGTACAGGACAGTTGTCTCTCATGTGATTACAGTTTTAAAAGCATGCTGATAATTTCATGGTAACGGTAGCTAATTTAGATGCGTTTCCATATAATTTGAATAACTGCTGGATTAGGTTCCATACTCTCTATAATCTAAGTTGTTGTAGTTTGGAGTCTTAGTAAACTTGGCTTGCTTCTTACCAAAAATATGACCCTTGTCATATAAAACATTGATTTATTTATATATTTTCATGCAATTGATGTTGTTATTTTTATGCATTCGGTACAAGTGTTATTCATACATTCTACGTCTACGGTTCTTGACATTTCTGGATCTTTACTTAGTTGAAAGTTTAAACTACTGTAAAATTATATTGTTCTGATGGAACCAAATTCAAATTTTGTTTAAACAAGTCAGGACGAAAATTTAGAACACGGGAATATTATTAGCTAAGTTTCGTATAAGAAATGTGTTAACATTAACTACTATATTTTTAAAAACGTTTTCTTTGTCACGAATATGATTTAAACTAGAACTTTCAGTTTTCCTTATTTTATATATCTAGATAATCCGTTCTACTGCGACTGTCGCGTCAAATGGATCGTCGAAAACAAAAGTTATTGGCCGTATATTGGCGCCATGACTTGTCACGATGGTAGAAATATACAGTCATACAAGGTGGAAGAGCTGGAAGACTGTTAGACTGATGTTAAAGAGATCCAAACATTGGTGACGAGTCTAAACAAAATCAAGCATCTTCTTAACGATTCTCTTCATGGTTATAAGACTAACACTTACAATATTTTGAAGCGTTAGAACATACGCTCTGGAATAAATTATCTTTTGTGTATGTAGTAAAGTGTATTTCTTCATTTCATTCTGTCTCTAATAACACAGTTGTGTAAATACAAATGGTAAAAATTTGAATGAACATCCAGTAAACCGACTCGAAACACAGTAAAAGGTCAAGCAAATTTCTACACTTCAGTTTTTAATCAGATTTATTTAGTGTTTTCCTAGGTATGATATCACCTAATGAAAACCCAATGTTGTATATGAATAGTTTTAGTAAAGATATGTGATAGCCATAGTCTTTGATATGAAGATGGTGTTTGAATTCAGTCACCGGGCAGATGATATTCAATATTCTGAATCCTGCACTTGCTGACAACTCTGAATTACAAAACCCAAGTCTGTGGAAATAGGAATTATCCACTATCGAATTAGTTTCTTAAACCTCTATAACTTAGCAACCAAAGAACACAAAATTAAGAACATATTACAACGAAGAACATCTAATGACGTTACAACAATATACCTTCTATTTTCGATGACGAGGAACCCACTTTGAGACTAATAATGGCTGGAGACGGCTTGAATGGGTAAGCCGTCTCCAGCCATTATTATACCTTCTATTTATTTCAATCTCATGTCTGAGCGACTTCTTAAAATAAACAATGTGAATAGTAGTTGAAAACTTTATCAATTAACAACGATATTTGTTATTAACAGAAATTCTGAAGCCCGGTTGTAACTTAATCAAACCATCGAAAATGGGACATACAAATTAGCAAACCAAGATTGCTAAAATATTGATAGTACGTAATCAATTTTAGAAGGTATAAGGTTAATTGACAATAAAACGTCTCAAACTGTGAATACTAATGTTAACCTATTATTTGAACTGAATATTTTATATTGTTCTTGAAACGTGTCATTATTAATTGATTAATTTTGGGGATTCGAATATATCTTTATTTATTTACTTACTTAGTTATTAATTTTTCCCTTCTCTACAACCTGATATCTAATTACGTATATATATATATATATACGTAATTATATATGAATACATGCAGTAATTAAGCATGTCGTATATTAACCTTTATAAAGAGGCCGGCATGGCCAGGTGGTTAGGACGCTCGCCTCGCAATCTGCGGGTCGCGGGTTCGCATCTTCATCCCACCAAACATGCTCGCCCTTTTAGCCGTGGGGGCGTTATAATATTACGGTCAATCTCACTATTCGTTGGTAAAAGAGTAGCCCAAGAGTTGGCGGTGGGTGGTGATGACTAGCTGCCTTCCCTCTAGTCTTACACTGCTAAATTAGGGGATGGTTGGCGTCAGGAAGGGCATCCGGCCGTAAAAACCCTGCCAACACCAAAAAATAGCGACCCCGTATAGATACGGGAAAAAGCTACAGAAGAAGAAGTATATTAACCTTTATCATTAACCAACCCAGCTAACACACTCGCCTACTATTCACTTGGCCATTAAAAATAAATAATTAGACAATTAAATTAGACAACAAATACAGTATTAGAAATTAAGTATAAAAAAAGAATGTTAGATAATATTTACGTACATAACTAAAATTATTATTGATGTAAAATTATCAATTAGGAATAGGTATTACTGCAGTTCAAAATCAAATCAGCCGACTCTAGAAAAGCTAAAGGCAGAGAATGAATTCTAAGAAATATATATATATACAAAGTTTCAAATGTTACCACCAAGAAGCATCAATTACTTCAGTAACAACAAAGACAAAATTTATATTTTTACATTTACTTGTATACAAAGAGTGAGTTCGGAGAATATCCCTTTATCACTAAATGCACAAAAGTAGTTCATACTATATTTGTTGTGTGACATACAATCACATATTGGTGTCAATTAATAAAAAAAAAGTTATTATAATAGACGTCAGGATTATAATTACCATTTCTAAAACAAGTCGAAATCTTTTATAAAACAATATGTTGTCCACCTGCCCATATCAAATATAGTGTATTTTTTAATTTAATGAAACTGTTAAGTCATATTTCAATTTTTCACTATTCCAATGAATCTTATCTTCATTACGAAAATTTTTTTTGAGTGAAAAACAATAGAACGTTTTTTAACCGCAAAATTTTAACTAAGTTTAAACTTTTTTACAAATGCAATAAAATATCACACCACCCATGTATTTCACATTGTTGCATGTAGTCATGGATCCACGTGTAAGTAGTATAAGTTCAACAACTAACTTTATTGGTCATAATAATAATACGTAAGCTGACAAACCAATATGGTCACTTTCAAAACTTCTGCAATGTTATTATAAATTAATAATGGGTGAATAAAAGCTAACATCAAACCGGCCCGGCATGGCCAGGTGGTTAGGGCGCTCGACTCGCAATCTGCGGGTTGCGGGTTCGAATCCTCGTCACACCAAACATGCTCGCCCTTTCAGCCGTGAGAGCGTTATAATGTGACGGTCAATCCAACTGTTCGTTGGTAAAAGAGTAGCCCAAGAGTTGGCGGTGGGTGGTGATGACTCCCCTCTAGTCTTACACTGCTAAATTAGGAACGGCTAGCGCAGTTAGTCCTCGTGTAGCTTTGCGCAGAATTCAAAAACAAGCAAACAATTCCTTCATACTCAAAGTTTTAGAACGGGCTATCTGTGCTGTGCCCACTGCAGGAACTGGACGAATGGCGTTATAGGATCACAAGATTACCGTTGAACCACCACGGGAGGCTTGTTTACTAATATGACTAGGTTATAATTAAGATGTTTAGGTGGTATTTAAGCATTTGTCTATAAATAATTTTGTCATCTACTTCAGGATAGTAATCAATCATTTTCTAGTTCCAGTGTGTCAGTTTTCCCTTTCAGTAAATTGAGTCCCCCAGTGGCGCAGCGGTATGTCTGCAGACTTACAAAGTTAGAAACCGGTCTTCGATACCAGTGGTGGGCAAAGCACAGATAGCCCGTTGTATAGCTTTGCTCTTAACTACAAACAGAGAGTAAATTGAAACATTTATTCAAAACATTGTACTCTTTACTGATGTTCTACAACTGCCTTTAACTACCAAATGTCTATTAATACAGTAAACTTACTTGTAAAAAAAAAAAAAGGAAATTGGCATCAATATGAAAATACGTGTTTAATGCCACTGTTTCAGTTCTTGCACACAAACCTTTTTTATTTAAAGTTACGAATTTATTTTGCAGTGTCATCTCGTTCCCACTTTCCTCATCCACTTACTTGCAACTAAAATATATATATATAGAAAATATATTAATATATTGACTAGAAACAAAATGGTAACTACAAATTAAAATAGAGTAATACACAAAACAAAGAAAAGTTATCAACATGTTCTACCGGCTCAGCATAAAATTTTTGTATTAAGAACCCTTATCATGATTCGGAAAAAACTATTACTCTTTATTAAGACAATGTATTAAGAGGCTGGGTATTTTGTTTTGATGGAGTTTGTAAATAATGCTACAGGAAAAATCCTAGATTGTGTTAAAAGATTTTAGATCTTAATTAATTTTATAATATTATTAATTTTTCGAATTCTAAAATAAAAACTAAGCGAAGTTAGAAAAACAAGCCAAATTAACATGTATTATATACTAAAAGAAATGTCGATTCATCGTGTTATTTA